TACCTTCCTACGCTGACTTTAAACCTGTTCAGGACACTTTTCCCACTATATACTACATCCTGATGCGTTTTCAGGACATTCTGAAACGTGATCTTTTTTGACAAAAACGACATGCTATGGTATGACTTTTTTTTTTCAGGACCAAAACACTGTTTTTTTTCAGGAAGTACCTTCCTAAGCTGACTTTAAACCTGTTCAGTGGGCCCCCCTATAGCTCACCTGGTAGAGCGGGCGACCCATGAACAGGGGCTGTAGTTCCCCGATGCAGCGGTCGTGAGTTCGAATCCCGCTCACGACCCTTTGCTGCAGGTCCGTCCCCATTCTTCTCCCCCCTTTCCTGTCTCCCTTTACTGCCTGTGGACAGGTGAATATTGGGCACTATTTATAGGGAGAAATCAAGCCTATACAAGTCACAGGTGAGGTTGAGCTTGATTATACAAGTCACACCTGTGACACTGATGCAATAGTTTATAGTGTGCAATCATTTTCGAACCAAAATAACATCTTCGGTGCAAGGGTGTGAATACTTTTGCAACAGTGAAATACAGACTTGTGCAATCTATTCATAGTAAAGAGTGCTTATGAACAAAAACAGTGATGGATTGTTGTGTTTGTGCCATTTCCTTTCATATGAACAGGTGAAACTCACTTTTGCTTTGTTCTGTTCTGAGAAATTGAGTTTTGGTCATGGGTGTGAATACTTTTGCAACCCACTGTAGGTGGCTACCTTGGCTACTAAAGTTATAACCTCAATAGTATGAAATTCCTTCAACCCAGACTGCTGAAGCCTGATATCAGGTTTGGAGAGTACATTCTTCTGTGGAGCAAAGACAAATGTGTTCTGTCCCCTTTTAAAAACATGTCTGTAAGATGAACAAATACAGCAAGAAAAAACAGTTTTATTGTTGATAGCTGATGACCTGACTCTTGTTTTTAATTGAGACCGACAGTCTTCAACTTCTGTCATTCACTGGTCAACGTCAGATATCTTTTTTTTTTTTAAATCACATGCAGTACACAGTACAAATTAACAAAACAATTTAATTCTAATGCAGTCTCAGTATGTGGTACCAGGTAACATCAAACTACATGAAAGAGACACAATTAAAGTTCTGTCACTTCTGTGACACTCACTTTAAAAGACCTATGTCAAGAGCAAATGTCACAAAACACACAATATCAACACACACACACATGAATGCACAATTTCATCTGAAACAGAGTATGTGTACTGGAGTCTATATAGTAACTCACATTCATTCAGCATTTCCACACACTGTACAAACTGTACAACTTTTTAAAGTTAGTAGAAAATTTCATGAAACAATCACTTGAGCCTACTTAACCTGTTGTTTCAGTACGTATGCCCTAAAAGAAAATTAGAAAAGGATTTTCTATTGACAAAGTGAACAATTATTTATCATAAACAGCATGCGGGCATGGATTTTCTTGTTTAGGATCCAGTATGTCTAAAAACATGTCAGCCTAACTGATAAACGTTAGCATGATGAGTCAAAGTGAGATAAAATCCACATATGTAAATATATATAACAGTTTTTAAGTGCTAACACATAATTACAATCAATAATGAAGCAAGAATGTACTACTGAGAGATCTATGAGAAAGTCCTTATCAGAGTCATTTGAGTTCTCTCCCATTCAAACCAATGCTTCCATGTGAAGCAACAAGCTCAAAATGAACCATAGTCAGTATTTGAACACATCATGGTGAGTGTTCTCTACACTGGTGCAAATCCTTGAATTACACTCTTGACATAATGGCCATCATTCACATCTTTGCAACAACCTCCTCGGCCTAGAACAGAGGAAGAGATACAATTAAAACCAAGGCAGATATTATTGTCATTCCTCTGAATATTGTAGTCACATCAGTATCAAAGTCAGCATCATGAAGCACATATTTTTGTTCTATTCTAGTTCTCAAAACTACTTTACACAGTTGAGACTTTGTTCTTTTATAAGGTCATGTTTTCTCTGGTTTAACTGATTTAATATAGTTCAGCTGTGAGTCTGCTGTGGTCAGCTTTGCCATTATGCAGTCTGTCATCTGACCTCCTCCTCACCTTCCTGTCTTCACTGGAGTCTTTATTAACCAGACCTTCATCGCTGGCAGCCTGCAGACTGTCGAAGGTGCCCTGCCTCTCTCGCTCCATCGCCGGCGTGTTTCTTTCTCTCCGCCGGTTCTTCCAGGACTCCATGATGCCCTCCAGACAGGTAAACTTGGTGTCAGTAGTGCAGGCGTACATCCCTATAGGCACCGCCAGCACCATTGCCAAAACTATCACCACTATATGAATCAGCTTCTCCCTCTGCTCCATCTCAGTAATGTCACTTCCTGTTACAAACACGATGCACTGGCCCGGACGTGGTGCCTGGTTCTTGAGGGTGACACAGATTTCATATTTTGTAGCAGGCATCAGATCAGAGACGGAGTAAGAGTGGATCCCAGGGCCGATGTAGATCATTTCTTTTTTATCGTCGCCTGCGAAACCAAAGTGGATGGTGAACCAGGTCTCAGCCGGGTGCTCCAGGGTGGCGTACCACTCGATGGAGATGCCACGCACTGTCTGTTTGGCGATGCGGATGTCGATGAAGACATTTTCATCACCGGCGCCTGGTGCAGACGGTGAACCGGGGTAGAGCGGCGACTGGGAGCTGTCAGGAGAGCGGACATCGAGGAGGATGCTGACGGAGGAGTTTCCGATGAAGTTTACTGCAGAGCAGGTGTAGACACCACGGTCAGCCGCGTGGAGGGACGGGATCACCAGGAAGGACCTGATGGTGTCCTCATCCACTCTTTCCTGAGATTCTGGGAGGACATTGAAAGTATCCAGTGTTATTTTACAGAACACACAAGCTTAGAGAATGTGAAAAAATGTTTTTGTTTTTTTTTTTACCTGAAAATAATATGCCTTCAGGATTCTATTCTAATAATAGCAAATGTTCTTTCTATTTGTCCCCATTAAAAAAATTTAAAACAATGTGACTTCCAACAACCCATCACAGACATTGAATGATGAAAAATTGTGTAGGTAGGATCCTATGTATTCAACATTCATATATATATATATATATATTGTAGGGCTGCAAGAGTTGTTTTAGCTATGAAAGAATCTTTAGTCTATCACGTCCAGCAAAGTGGTTATGTTTTCATTACCGTTTGCTTGTTTGTCTGCCAGTCAGCAAGATTATGAAGAAACTACCAGGGCCACTTTAATTAAATTTTGTGGAGCAATGGAGCATAGACAAATGAAGACCCCACTAAAGTTTGGTGCAGATCTGGGTTGGGTTACACAATCACATAGCACAGAAGAGTGGGCTGTTGTGTAGTGAACAATTACTTGTTTGGTCCATAATATGTCAAAAAAAATAACAAATTCTGTGCATCACAAATTCAGTAATTGATGTAATCAGATAGCTTAACATTGACTGTAACAAAAGCAGCAAATCCTAGCAGCAAAGTTGCAACTAATGGCTTTATGAATCAATAGTAGATGTAGATATTTTTTTAGTAAATTCAAGATTAAAGTAAAGATTTGATCAATTCTGTTTATTATTAGCCAGTAAGATACTAATCGTGGATTGTGAGACTTTATGTAACTCTTTAATTGATTGTGAGAAATGAATCTGATCTCTAATCTTTTGGAAAACAGCTGCAGAGGATCCAGGATACAATAGCTGTTGATCAACGTTGCCTTACTGTAAACTGTATTTGCATCTTTACCTACTTCTAAGTAACCGTCACTATGAGGTATACTCATGTAAATTCTGTGAACTGCAGCTTATCTGGCCACCTCTGGTGACTCAGATGACTGTATGATGAAAGGACAATAATGGGAGCAGCAGCCTGGCTCCCAGTTTATGAAGGACCAGTTGTTTGAAGTCCTCAAAGCACTCCACTCTAAAGGTTAAGTCTAATGACGCAGAGGGCCCAACATTAGGTAGGCCACACTGTAATCTGCAACACTCTTAATCGACACTGATGGTGTTGTGCAGATTGACAGATCGGTGGTGTTTATACAGCGGTGGGCCAATATCCAGATTTAACCCTCCTCAAGGGTTACAGGGGTCTGCGATTAAAATGTGTGTTTAAGCATCTAATTTATCGCACTTTATCGTGGATGACACACTGTGAACATCACACTCTTACCATGAAATCCTCTGATTATCTTCAGGCCATATGTCCACCACACGGCGGGGTCCGGCCTCGCCTTGGCGACGCAGTGCAGGGTGAGGTTGGCGCCCTGCGGCAGGCTGATGTTCGCGGAAGGAGCGCTGACCACCGGCTTCATGCACGCCTGCAGCTCGATCTCATGAAAGAACTTGCCCGCCCTAAAGTCCGGCCCTGAGCAGGTCAAGTAGGAGTTCATCAGGATAATCGGGGGGCTTAGGGACCTGATGAACTCCACGAAGCCCTTCAGGCGACAGTCGCAGAGCCACGCGTTGTCGTGGAGCGCCAGGACGACGTTGGGCACAAACGCGGTCGCCTCCCTCTCCTCCGTGCTCTGTAATTTCTGGTAGAGGGGCCAGTTTTGGAAGACCTCCTTCGATATGACCGTTAGCCGATTGAAGGATAAGTCTAAGTAAGTCAGACCTGGCAAAAATTTTAACGCATGCTCCGGCAGGACGTCCAGCTGGTTGTGCTTCAGGTCCAGAATCTTGAGGGCCGGCGTGTCCTCGAACGCTGTCCATGGTACTGAACGCAGCTTGTTCCCTTGCAGACGGAGCTCGGTTAAGTTCCCCAAACCTTCCAGGCCCTTCGAGTTTATCACTGTGATATCATTGAAGTTCAGCCACAAGTTCTCCAAGGCGGGGGTTTTAGAGAAAGCCCCTTTGGGTATTTCAGTAAAGTGAGATTTTTCTATGCGTATTTTGGTCATATCATCTGGAAGATTCTCTGGTATGGCTCCAAACGCGCTCTCCTCCATACATATGAGCGACCTGAAGGGAAGAGTTTATATGATGAAATGGTTACTGTGTACGAATCAGAGGCTTAATTTCACCTTTGTATTTTCATGCAATCGTGTCCTTCACCGCTGACCGAGTCACCGTTACGCATCGACACAAATAGGTTAAAAGACGACAGCACATGAAATCAGGTCTTACCTTCCATGACGCTCTTCAACACAGCTGCACCCGCGTAAACATTGAGAATGAACTCCACACGCCTGGATGTTGAACAAAACTATAACTAGCAGGTAACAAATTATGTCCATAGTCCGCGAAGATCCCTGAATTTGAAGGCTACATTCGTGCTCAAGACATGTCGAGTGCGGCAGACGAGAGAAGCCTATTAAGCTTTAATCCCCAACATACGGTGCAGGAACAAGTGGCATCTGATTCTTGGGCAAGACGTGCATGATTAACACTTGACGGTGTCACTAGGTCTGACCTACTATGCTGTTGAGCAGGTGTCACTTTCTGATGAGCCAAACAGGCAGCTGCAGATGTAGCTATAATTTACTAATGCTTTATAGGTCAATAATAAGATTACCAGGTTACCAGGGGGTGGAAAAGCCCTCCTACTGGTGTTTACTAGTAGGCAGTCTATTAATAAAGACTTGAAAGTGTCACAAACACGTTAATTCTGTAGTTTTACAAGTTAATAAATTGGTTTTGAAAGAAGTTTTTGCATGTTATTTTCCAGAAAACAAGTTGTTCATTAGAAGGTCTAATGATGTATTTTAAAAAGCTAAAAAGACAAATTTTCTGCTGCCTGTAAAAAAAAATCACGTGTCAGCAAAAAAATATTCTAATCAGCAGCTTGTAATTATGCATAAAGTGTTAATAAACACGTTATCAACATTAATAAGGCTATTACAACTCATGATCATCTAATTTTCTGAAAAATGTATCCAATCAACTACCAGAAAACCAACAACATTAATTAAAGAGCATTAATATTTTCTGAATGGAAACAGGTTGAGAACCGAACAGTGTGGTGAGGTGAAGACAGGTTGTAAGAAGACACAGTATTACATCCTGGATACGTATATATAAAAGTTTATTTCATTATTTTCAAATACGTAGTGTCATTGGAATGAATAGCTCTACATTTATTGGGATAGTGATGCCTCTAGGTGGCACAAGATGGGTACATAGAGAGATTTCAGTATGTGTCTCATTGCTGGGAATATAAATCATTTCACATTTCATTTCTGCATCATTTCCCACCCTATTTACATTGTGTCATAGTTCAGTCCTTCCTGTACTTCTCTCCAGCTCCAGCTTCTCTCCATTCACCAAAGTGTTGAACCATGCCTATGTGTATATCTTCTCTGAGAACCTATGACAGATATATACAGAGGCACAGAATTAACTGTATATGTAAGTGTACATCATCCGGTGAAATATTTACAAATCATACACATACATATATGATATAAACAATGGAGTATCTACCATTGAGTTCCCTTTAAATCAGATCGGGTTGAAAAGGTTTCTTCGCTGGGCCAAAACAAATGAGATGAAATATAACTTACAGTGTTTGCGATGTGCTTTCAGTTTTCAACATGTTTTTTTTTTTCTTACAGGCTTAGTGATTTTAAAAAAACATTCTTTTAGACATAAAAGCATGCGCGCGTTTGAGTCTTACTATTAATGGATGCATGGCAGTCCAGTGAGGTTCACTTGATCTGCAAGAAATTATTCTAGAACTACCCAGTTAATCAAATTCTTTAAACTGATATTTCCATTATAGTGCACCGTGCAAAAGTTCTTTGATAGAAGTTGGCTCTCTGTGGCGGTGGAGTTGGTGGCATTATCCAGCGAGGAGGGACAGGTGGGGGGGAATCCCATGGTGTGGGCGTATGGGAGCGAGTGGGAGGGGGACTGACGTCAGGGTGCTGCTGAGGGTGAGAATATGGGTAGTGCTGAGGGTATGGATGCGGGTGGAAATGAGGGGGGTGAGGGTGGTGGTGGGCGTGCGAATGAGCGTTTGGGTTTCGAGTGTGACGCGGGTGCGGGTGAGAGCGAGGGAGATGACGCGGAGCGGGAGCCGGAGCTGGAGCATGACGTCAGCAGAAGTACTCGTTAGGCTGTCCCTCTATCTTAGCTGTGGCCTCGGAGTCCAGGCTGGAGCGAGCTGACAGCAGCCTGTTGGACTCTTCTGGGTTCAGTCTGTTCAAATACTCGCCCTCGAGCCCTTTGGCCTTTGTGCCAGGCGACAGTGTTTCAAAGGTCACATAGGAATCTTGGATGTCCTTTGTTTTTTTCCCCCAGTACTTCTGAATGCGTCTCTTCAGCGCCCCACAGCAGACGATGACTGTGAGCGGCACCGCGATGATACAGGCCACTGTGATCACAATCACATTAATCAGCTTCTGAGTGCCGGTCGCACTAGCTGCTTCATCGGTGGAAAATATGACACACTGCTCTTTCTTGGGGATCAGTCCCCTCACGCACACACAGGCAATGTACTTGGTCCTGGGCACTAACCCTTCGATGGTGACACGGTTCTGACCCGCCCCAACATTGATCTTTCTCATGTCCCTCTCCCCAAACACTGCATACAGCACACTAAACGCTGTTGTGTTTTTGGCTTTAGGGGCTCTCCAGTTCAGAGAAATTGTATTGTCTGTGTCCCCCACCACCTTCACTGAGCGGACCACCCTGTCCGGGTCCTGCTGCAGCGACGAGGTGTTGGCCGCCAGGTTGCTTAGGTTAGTCTTCTCCAGATCCAGCAGCGCGTCTGGGTTGGAGGAGGTGGCGGGCCCTGGGGTGGCTCTGTCAACCACACTGTAGCTGGCCAGTCCAGGATCAAGACTGAGACCAGGTAGAAGGCCAGGATCCAGCGCAGGCAGGGATGAAGGGGTGGAGGTTGGAACCACATATCTGGCAACCAGTTTCTCCTGGTAGGCAGCTTTGCCCATTTGGTTCGGTTTCTTTACTTTGGGCTTCTTGTCATTGGTGGTTTGGTTCCCCTCTGGTTTTGGTGAGTTAGAGACAATGAGAGAAATGACAGCCTCGGCGTTCCCTGCATAGTTAGTAGCCTTGCAGATGAATTTCCCTGAATCACGGTAGGACACGGCTGGAACACTGAGGATGGACCAGGTGATTCCCTCCTTTGAGGTTTCCTGCTGGACTGTGGCAGCATAAAGAGAAGAATGCGGTTATTATACGATAATTACAAGCACAAACCCTATGAAAAAGAACAAAAATGTAAAAAGTAATACGCATCTGAGAAATATCCCCTTTGATAAATGGGCAATGAGGCACCAAGCAGGTGATTACACAATGTTGCATTGATCATCATTGGTGTTGCATAATTCACTGTGGTGGCCACAGCTGTCAGTCAGACTTAAAACCTTACTAACTCCACTGATAGCTCTCTGTTTAATTAACAGCAGCAGACAAAATCATCTTATCTCAGGCACAACGCAATGCAAGACCCGGACAGCCAAAGAGCTGCTGACTCACCTGTTCCATTAAGGGCTCGTCCATCTGCCCTGCGCCAAGTCAGGTCAGGGATAGGAACTCCGATGGTCCCACAGCGGAGCAGCACATTGTTCCCAACGGCGCTCCGGACTCGTGCCACAGCTGTGTGGATACGCGGGAGCTGACAGCGCCGCAGCTCAGCATCACTGAACAAGACCCCCGACACGCTCTCCGGAGCTGAACACCGGAGCCTTGTGTCGATGAAAGCCACTGAGAGAGTCTGAGACTTCTGGAACTGGACCAGGTCATAGAGCCGACAGTCACACACCCAGGGGTTGTCATGGAGACCTAAGGGGTGAAGAGGACACAAGTGAGGAGGCTACAGGAGGAAGACGAGCGTCCAGCTGTGTGCAAAGTGATAGACCAGCCTGCAGATGGCTGGTGTAGATGTTAGGATGTTAATCCTGTAAGAGGATTAACATTTAATTCATAAACTACATCATGGTCATGACTACGGCAATGATGATGATGATGATGATGATGATGATGATGATGATGATGATGATGATGATGATGAAATGGTAGTGGTGGTGGTCCAGCGATCAAGGTCAGACTGCTGCCATTTCACTCTCCTGTTCTTGACCAAAGCACCTGCCACTAGAAGTGAACCTGGAGCAGCTTTATTTCTGATTCTGTTCCAAATTAAAGCATTGAAGTGCAGCAACACAGTACATACAGCTCTAAAATTCAATCCAGCAAAACACATACTTCTTTTTGATTTTTTGGTATTATGAATAGTACTAGTCAAAAATAATGACTTCTCCTGTGAAATGAAATGAATGAAATGAAAAATACTTTATTTATCCCAGAAGGGAAATTCAATAGTGAAGATAAGTTTTCTATCTGTATCTGTATCTGTATCTGTTTTTCTTATTAACAATTTTCATGTTTCCATTATTGGCTGCCCACAGAAAGAGTTACAGATGTTGACAAATACGTTATTAAAAACTTAAATCTGCTCACAGCTATAGTACAGTCTGATATCATTTTGTAAAGGTGAATATCCTGCTTTATAATGCCAAATGGGGACGTGAAAATAAAGTATCACCCTAGTCTTTACAAGCAAAACGTTAATTTGTTTTCCAAGGCTGATAACATTTTAAATTTTGATGGAGCAGATTTTTATTTTATTTTGTTTAATCATTTTTTTTATCATCCACCAGCACTTGGTGAATGATGCTTGTTTAAGAATGTTGCTTTGCGCAAATTTGCACACTTTACGCACAACAAAGGAGGCTGCACCTAGAGCGCATTTTAGGTGTTTCATACTGAGGAAGGTTGGATGCAAGGATGAGCACATTTCCTTACCAAGTATCATCTTGGAGCTCTCTGGCCCTTGCGTAGGTTTTGCAGCCAGCCAGGTGGAAAGCACCTCCGCCGGCAGCGTCAGCAGGCTGTTGCTGGACAGATCCAGGTAGGTGAGGTTCCTGATGTACGTGGTGGCTTCAGCGGGCAGCGAGGTGAGCTGGTTGTTGTGCAAATCGAGAAGTCTGAGACTGGGCATATCCATGAGAGATTCCCAGGGAAAGGCGGTGAGGGCATTCCCGTCCAGACGAAGCTCTTCCAGGTTGAACAGTCCCCGGAAACTGTCCGAGTTCACGGTGGACAGCGTGTTGAAAGACATCCACAGGAATTCCAGACTGGAGAGGTAGTTGAAGGCTTCGCTTGGTATCCGCTGGATGGACGTCTTCTCAATCCGAAGCTTGGACGTGTCAACGGGGAACCCGACAGGCACAAGAGATATCTCGGGGTCGTTGCAAATGACGCTCCTAAAAGAGGA